ACAAGTTTAATATCAAAGCTGTTAAAAATTGTCATTAAATTGTCATCCATGAATTGTCATATAATTGTCATTTCAAATCTTTAAGTTTAAAATTGTTAGAAATAAAACTCCTTCATTTTTTAAACTTGCCTCATTATTGAAACGAAACACAGAAAAGCTATAATATTTCTGGTTATTGACAAGCAAAGACCCTAGCTTCTGATTTAAAATAACTTTTGCTATTAAATCTAATTATCTGAATTAAACATTAATCTTTGGATTAAAATTAGACCAAACTGTCATGGCTTGTGGAAGGCATTTAACCCAAGACATGCAGAATTAGCTCAGGAGTCAGGAGGTAAGAAATTAAAATATTTATTTACACAAATGGGAACTAAAGTAGCACTGAAATCCAGTGAATGATGCCGAGGGCGATTGTCCAGAGTTCTTAGCTCAGCGAGCTGCGGGGCAAGCGGGGTGCCAAGGAGACGAGTGTAGTGATCCAGCCGGACGGGAGGTGAGGAAGCAGAGAGGAGAAATGCAGGAGCGGAGGAGGAGAATGAGACGTGAATGAGGATCCGTGGTTCTTAGCAGAATTTGGTGAAGGTTGGGGTGGTAATCCTAGGAGGGCAAACAAACGGAGTTTCAGCAGCAAGTTCAAAGCCGTAATCCAATAAACAGTCCAAGGTCAAAAATCCAAGTAATCCAAACATGCGAGGTCAAACAAGTACGAGTGGCAGGCGTTACCAATACTGGAGTAATCATCCGGCTTCGAGTAGTGTCTCCATCCTCCTTTTAAACCCGAGCTCCAAATGATTAACTCAGCTCAGCTGGTACCTCTCCGCTCCTCACCTGTGGAACACAGAACCCCAAAGATTGTTAATTGAGGAGGAGGACTCACCTAGACCCAAGAACGATGACATTTACCCCCCCCCCCCCCACACCCCCCACCCACCACCCCCAACGTGCACCTCCTGGCGCCCCAGCGGCGGTCCTAGAGGCCTCGAAGTCTGAGATGAGGGAGGGGTCCTCGATGAACGCCTGGGGGACCCATGAACGCTCCTCCGGGCCATACCCCTCCCATTCCACCAGGTATTGTACTCCCCGACCCCGAGGGCGAGAGTCGAGTATCCGCCGAACCTGGTAGACCAGACCACCCTTGTAGTACCGAGCAGGCGGAGGCGGGTCCGGGGTCGGACAGAGAGGACTGGTGGCCACTGGTTTGATCAAGGACACGTGGAAAACTGGATGAATCAGGAGCGATCGCGGAAGGTCCAGACGAACGTTCACAGGGCTGGGAACCGCCACAATCTTATAAGGACCTAGGAACCTGGGAGCAAATTTCTTGGATGTGGCTTTAAGGGGTACATCCCTGGAGGACAGCCAGACAATCTGTCCAGGAGCGTAGGCTGGTGCCGGGCGGCGATGACGATCCGCCAACTGCCGGTTCCGTTCAGCAGTGAGTAGAAGTGCGGCTCTGGTAGTCGTCCAAGCTTGACGTGCCCGGCGGAGAAACTGTGGCGTAGTGACAGTGGAGTCTGACTGGAGGGGAAACAGAGAGGGTTGGTGGCCAAGAGAAGCTTCGAAGGGAGACTGACCTGTGGCTGTGGACACATGGCTGTTGTGGGCATACTCCATCCAGGCCAGGTGGTCGCTCCAAGAGGTGGGGTTGGTAGGACATACACAATGCAGCATAGCTCCCAGCTCCTGATTCATGCGCTCGCACTGTCGGTTGGTCTGCGGGTGAAATCCGGAGGTTAATGCTACACGGGCACCCAAGGCGTTGGCAAATTCCTTCCAGACTCTGGAAATGAACTGGGGGCCACGGTCAGACAGAATCTCCTCAGGAATCCCATGTAGACGAAACACGTGTTTGATCAGGAGCTGGGCAGTGATGGCTGAAGATGGGAGAGATTTCAGAGGTACAAGGTGGCAAGCCTTGGAAAACCTGTCTACGATAGTCAATATGGTATTGAAACCACGAGAGGTGGGCAATCCACACACAAAATCCAAGGAGATGTGCGACCAGGGACGAGACGGAACAGGAAGAGGACAGAGTAGACCAGCAGGTGAGCGGTTGTTACCTTTATGTTGGGCACACACATGGCACGCCAAGACGTATTCCTTCACGTCCTTGTAAATAGACGGCCACCAGAAGGAACGCTTAATGAGGGCCAAAGTCCGACCGACACCAGGGTGAATGGAGAACTTTCCAGTATGAGCCCAGTGGATAACCTTGCCTCGCATGACCTGAGGAACAAAAATTCTTTTTGAAGGGCTGTTACCAGGACCGGGATCGACCCTGAGGGCTTCCAGAACTCTGTCTCTGATCTCCCATGTGAGCCCCGCCACCACGCAGGATGGAGGCAGGATAGTGCTCGGAACGGGGTCATCCTCAGACGAGTACTGACGGGTAAGGGCATCTGGTTTGATGTTCTTAGACCCTGGCCGGTAGGAAATGACAAAGTTAAATCGAGTAAAGAAAAGTGACCAACGGTATTGACTAGTGTCAGTGACTATACAGCAATTCTCATACTAAGCAAGCATGCAGCGACAGTGGAGAGGAAAACTCCCTTTTAACAGGAAGAAACCTCCAGAGAATCCTGGCTCAGTATAAGCAGCCATCCTCCACGACTCACTGGGGATCGAGAAGACAGAGCAGGCAGACAAAGACACACACACACACACACACACACACACACACACACACACACACACACACACACACACACACACACACACACACACACACACACACACACACACACACACACACACACACACACACACAGACACACACACACATACACACACACACACACACACACACACACGTAATGTGTCTATAGTTATATTGTGATGTCTTAGTAAATATTGTATTTTGTGAAAGATAAACTTTATTGTATTTATCCTAGTGGATCTATAATTAAATGGATAAACTAGTATTAGCACATCAAAAGTCAATGAAAACAAAAAGTTATTATCAGGAGAGAGAGAATGTATTAGTGGTTAGCAGCAGTGTGTTAGTCGATGGCCCCCTCCATGAGGCCACCACAGCTCAGCAGAACGTCATTGTAGATTCTTCTGGGGAGAAAAACACTTACAGAAAAAATAAAGTTAACAGCTGAAATTGCACAAAATAGTACAGTTAAAGAGCAGACTGTAGAATAAAGCAGTAGAGTGTGAAAAGTGGTCAGTGTGTCCTCCAGCAGTCTAAGCCTATAGCAGCATAACTACAGAGTTAACTCTGGATAATCTATCCTATTTAGATGTAGGCATGTTGGAGGCAGGGCAATGGAGAGCCGTCTTTACCGACTGTACACTCCACCTCCCTCTACTCCCCCACGTGTCCAGATTTAGGCTAACATCAGATTTTAACTATAGGCCCTATCAAAAAAAAATGTTTTAAGCCAATTCTTAAAAGTAGACAAAGTGTCTGCCTCACGGACTAAAGCTGGGAGCTGGTTCCACAGGAGAGGAGCCTGATAACTAAAAGATCTGCCTCCCATCCTAAGTTTAGATATTCTTGGAACCACCAGTAGACCTGCAGTCTGGGAGCAAAGTGCTTGGTTAGGAACATATGGAACAATCAGATTACTGATGTATGATGGACCTTGATTATTAAGAGCTTTATATGTGAGAAGAAGGATCACAGAGGAGGCGAGGGTGAATCGGGAGGTTGCATGTCCAAAACTGCTACCCACTAGTACTCCCGGACCTACTGGTGGGCTCTTCCTTTTACCAAAGCCGGGCAGGTCTGGACAAAATGCCTAGGCAGTCCACAGTACAAACAGAGACCCTTACCATCCGGTGGTGTCGTTCCTCCTGGGTAAGGTGGGCCCTTCCCAGTTGCATGGGCTCCTCTGCCGGTTCTGCCTGGAACGGTGGTCTTGAGCTGGGTTGACGGCGCGCTGAAGAGGAAGACGGAGCCAATGAAGAAGTTCCGTGAAACTCTCTATGTCTTTTATCGATTGAGATAGAGAGTGTAATGAGACCCTCCAGGGTGGGTGGCTCAGGACACAGAGCTAACTGGTTCTTGACCTTGTCATTGAGGGCCTCAATAAAAGCTGCTTTTAAGGCCTCGTTGTTCCAAGTGGTCATTGCAGCCAAAGTCCTAAATTTCAGTGCCATGTCAGCTACCGTTCTCCGACCCTGGGAGAGGTGTAACAACTTCTTGCGTATGTCCGTGACTGTTTCAGAGCTACAAAAGGTCAATTTAAACTCTTCCAAAAAATCCTTATAGGAACCAGATAAAAACTCAGGGTTGCGACTCTTTGCCTCAGCCCATCTAAGAGCTTTGCCTCTTAACAGTCCCACAATAAAAGAGTTTTTAGCAGAATCGGAAGAAAAAGCTCTTGGACAACGCTCGAAAGCCAGGCGACATTGTAATAAAAATCCATATCCGTCCTCGAATTCACCGGAAAACGTTGGACAAGATGGCGGCAGAGCTAGACGGAAGTGGGTGAGTTCCAGATGTCCGGGTACTTCCGGTCCGGGCTGAATCAGAGCCGGTGGGGCTAGTTCCGGGACCGCTAACGGAGCCTGGGCGGGAGCTGGAGGTGCTGCTGGAGCCGGTAGTCGATCGTGGAGTTGTTGAACCAGAGCCTCCAACTGCTGGTACCGTTGATTAGCAACCGCCAGTTGATCGAGCAGGACAGGAAGTGTTTGTTCCTGCTGTGCCATCCGGTTAGCCAGGTCTGCTAGAGCTGATTCTGATGGGTTATCTTGTTGGCCGGATGATTCTGTCATGGCTTGTGGAAGGCGTTTAACCCAAGACATGCAGAATCAGCTCAGGAGTCAGGAGGTAAGAAATTAAAGTCTTTATTTACACAAACGGGAACTAAAGTAGCACTGATATCCAGTGAATGATGCTGAGGGCGATTGTCCAGAGTTCTTAGCTCAGCGAGCTGCGGGGCAAGCAGGGTGCCAAGGAGACGAGTGTAGTGATCCAGCCGGACGGGAGGTGAGGAAGCAGAGAGGAGAAATGCAGGAGCGGAGGAGGAGGATGAGACGTGAATGAGGATCCGTGGTTCTTAGCAGAATTTGGTGAAGGTTGGGGTGGTAATCCTAGGAGGGCAAACAAACGGAGCTTCAGGAGCAAGTTCAAAGCCGTAATCCAATAAACAGTCCAAGGTCAAAAATCCAAGTAATCCAAACATGCGAGGTCAAACAAGTACGAGTGGCAGGCGTTACCAATACTGGAGTAATCATCCGGCTTCGAGTAGTGTCTCCATCCTCCTTTTAAACCCGAGCTCCAAATGATTAACTCAGCCCAGCTGGTACCTCTCCGCTCCTCACCTGTGGAACACAGAACCCCAAAGATTGTTAATTGAGGAGGAGGACTCACCTAGACCTGAGAACGATGACACAAACAGGTTGGTGTATGAACTTAGATCATACATAAGTATCCGGGATATTTATGTATGATATAAGCTTCATAGATTAATATGCATGGTCATTTTTCCACAATCTAACAACTGACAGCAAACAGTGTTGATTCTAATATGTAGTTTGATTCTCTACATAATTGGACACATCAGCCAGTCTTTCAATAACTAGTCTTATTCAATAATCCAGTGAGCCATTCTTCCTAAATAAAAACGCTATTTCTGTGTTTTATTTTCAATATTTTACTAAAAACGGAAGGTGTCCCACCTTAATTTTCTTCCTCCGGAAACTTCTGGGAGGGAATCACCGGCGGTGACGGTGGGCATGACACTGGTTTCGAAGACGGCGGAAGGATCTCTTGGAAAACCAGGGAATCCAGGACGAACTGACGTAAGGCGTCTTTGGTCAGCTGCTTGGGGACGAGCAGACTGAAGTGGGCGGCAACCTGCTGCAGGTCGGATTTCCTACAACCCTCCAGCAGCCGGCGCGATGGAGCCTCCACACATGCCTGTACGTCAAAGGATGACATAGCCTCTGCCTTGCCTCTAAGAGAATAAAAAAAATAGTTTCAAACACAGTATAAGTGGTAAATGTAAAAACGGGTTGTCGATGTTATAAATAACAATAAATCCCGGACAAGGCCCCACTCTTTTACGTCCCTTGGCTTCACTAGGAGCACGATGGATGTTAAGGGAGTAAAGAAACATATATATGTGAATGAAACTAACTAATTTAAAACTCTTAGAAGGAAGTTTATTAAAACAAACAGCACTCTGGGCTGAAAAGGAAACAAAAATGTCATCCAATTGCTGGGTATAAATAACGAAAGGGATGTCTAACAAATTAAACAATTTTTAATTAACAAAAGCGCAGCGCAAAAGGGCTGAAATAAAACTACACGAAATAACACAAAAGCCGCACCAAAAGGGTGAGCAAAGTCTCTCATGAAAATGAGGACAAACAAACTATTATTAATATTAACAAAAATACCACTCAGGTAGCGAAACAAAGAAAAACCACTCAGGAAACGCCTCGATTACTGCAATGCCCTTCTAACTGGTCTTCCAGGCTGCACTATGAGACCTCTTCAAATGGTCCAGAACACAGCGGCGCGTCTGGTCTTCAGTCGGCCTAAAAGAGCACACGTCACCCCTCTGTTCATTGAGCTCCCCTGGCTACCGCTAGCAGCACACATCAAATTCAAATTGCTAACACTAGCATACAAAGTCCAAGACGGTATGGCTCCCATCTACCTGAATCCTCTTGCAAAGGCTTACGTCTCGGCCGCTCTGGTCATCACAGGATTGTCGGCTAGCAGTGCCTACACCACGCTCAGGACAATCCAGACTTTTCTCATGCATCATTCCACAAATGTGGAATGGCCTTCCAAGCACTACCAGAACTGCGGCTTCCTTTTCAATTTTCAAGAAACTCCTGAAGGCCCTGCTCTTCAGAGAGCATCTTCTTAACTAGCACCGTGCCTGCACCCGTCCCCCCTCTCTACTGTCCACTCCTTGTTCCCTCCTCTCCATGACTGATGTCAAGTTGTTGTTGTTTCTGTTGTTGTTAGCCTCAAGGGCAAAATGCCGATTATCACTTGTAAGTCGCTTTGGACAAAAGCGTCTGCTAAATACTAGTGATGGGACGAACGACACTGGCGCGTCAGCACAGTGTCGACTGCACAAGAGTGAAACCCCGTATCGGTGCGTGTATCGCTTTAAGAAAATATCACGTGACCGACACAGGATTGTGTGTCGTTTGGATGCGCCGCGCCAAATTGTGTTTATAAGGAAACAAACTGTATCGACATGTTGCGGATTTGTTGGTTAGAGTTTTGCTGTTTGATTTTGGATTTTTCCTTACTCTCACGCTCACTTTTCTCCGCTGACTTCATGGATCGTTCCTAGAAGTTTTCCCCAGTCTGGAATAATTTTGATCTTTTGACGCCAAAAAAGGTAAATTGTTTTCTCCATTTGGCAACGTTTACTGTTATTTCTGTATTGTAAATGTGTTTGTAGTCTTTCTCTGGTAAGAGGCTTAAATTGTTTTCAGATAAATTAACTATTTATTTTATTGTAGGTGAAGTGTCGGCTCTGCTCCACAGAGCTGTCTTACTCAAATAAGAGCACTTCATCAATGCTGAGGCATTAGAGTTCGGCATGGCAACGATGAATTGGTAGATACCCCAGGTATGTTGAAATTATCACCAAAAAATCTGAATTGTCAAAATTAGTCTATTACACACAAAAGGCTTTGTGTGACTCTGTAGTATTGCTTGTAAAATCCTTTTCATAAGCTTTCTAAAGCTTTTAAAAAAGTATTTCTTTTTGGCTTGCAGTTCCTAACAAGCAAGCAGTGGATGATGCTGTGGTTAAAATGATCATCAAAGACTGCCAGCCACTCACCATTGTTGAAAATGAGGGATTCAGGGAGCTCCTGAAGCTTATTGCACCCTCATATGTTCTACCAAGCAGGAAGGTATGTTTAAGAAATGTTTGCTTTAATTAATCAACTACTTTCATGGTGTGTGTGTGTGTGTGTGTGTGTGTGTGTGTGTGTGTGTGTGTGTGTGTGTGTGTGTGTGTGTGTGTGTGTGTGTGTAACATTGGTATTACAGTATTGGTATGTTTACTTGTAGGTCATCAAGGACTTGGTGAGCCAGAAATATGAAGAGGAAAAGGAGAAAACAAAAAAGGACCTCCAGAGCGTCATTGCTGTTAGTTTAACAGCTGATATGTGGACATCCATTAATATGGAGGCATATCTTGCCGTTACTTGCCACTATGTGGACAAAGAAAGCCATGAACTCTGTTCATCAGTCTTGGGAGTGCAGCATTTCCCTCAGAAACACACTGCAGAAAACATGGCCACAGTTAAAAGGAGCCTCATGAAGGAGTGGGGCATAGCAGGCAAAGTCAGGTGTCTTGTCACTGATGCAGCAGCAAACATGATTGCATGTGCTCGAATGCTGCAAGTACGGCAAACCATTTGCATTGCCCATTCCATAAATTTAATTGTAAGAAAGTCATGTGATCAAATCTCAACACTAACAGAACTACGCAACAAAGCACGGCAAATTGTGACATACTTTCGATCAAGCACCATGGCCAAGGAAAAGCTCACTCAAATGCAGCAACAGCTGGGAACACCATTGCATAAATTAATAAATGAGGTGCCGACACAATGGAACAGCACCTACCACATGCTGGAGAGATTGACTGAGCAGAAGGAGGCAGTCTGGGTGTCACTGGCCTCATTAAAAACTGATCTCACTCCACTGACTCCAGAAGAATTTGAAATCATTGAAGAGATGCTCAGGGTGCTTGCTCCTTTTTACCAAGCCACAAGAGAACTCTCTGAGGAAAAAAGAGTCTCGGGGTCAAAGGTTATTCCATTGATGAGAATGATCCACATTGAGCTTCAACATCAATCTTCAACGGTGACAAAACCCACTGCTAAACAGCTGGCTGAAAATCTGTCAAAGCGGCTAACCGAGTCCATCTGCAACATGGAATCGCTCAGTGTGATGTCACTGGCAACATTGTTGGACCCCAGGTTTAAAACTGCTGGCTTTTTTAGTCCACTGAAAGCAACTGAAGCTGTCAAGAGACTGAAGTCAGAGTGTGCTGCTGAAATGAGGAGCCATGAGCCTGACCCAGCAGTAGAGGAGCCTAGCACTTCACATGGATCAGAACACAGTTCAGGTATGAAAACACATTTCTTTGTGAATATTTGTTTATTTCTGCGGAAGTTTGTCATGTGATAGTAAACCAATGATTAACAGACTTATTTCCAATTTATTTGTTAGGACACAATCTCTGGAGGCACCTTGATATGGAGGTTGAGGAGAGCAGGATGACCTCTAATACTACAGCCAATTCCATAATTGAAGTCCAACGCTACCTGGCTGAAAGAAATGCACCAAGAACACAAGACCCATTACAATATTGGAAAAATAACCAGAATTTATATCCACACCTTTATCAACTCGCACTTCAATTCTTATGCACACCATCTTCATCTGTACCCTGTGAAAGAGTGTTTTCTAAGGCAGGGGAACTGGTGTCTAAGAGGAGAAATCGCCTTGGAGCAAACTTACTGCACAAACTTTTGTTCCTCAATAAAAATGCATAAATGAATCCATATTTAGTCTTTTATTTTGTATGATCTAACACAGAGGTTAACACATTTACACAAGTTAAAACTTTTACTTCTGATTTTTATTAGACACATTCAGAAGATTTAACATGCCAACTCATTGTAGCATTTACACAAAGGTTACAAGCAAATGTTAAACTCCTTTCATAAAGAACTTAACAAATTGAGTAAATTAAATTGCATAATGATATAATATTTTGATTACAGGAAATTAAATCTTGCACACCTGGTGTGGGTTTGCAGCATGTAACCTTTTCCATCTTATTTACCTGCAATGATTTTAGAAATACTGCAGGTGTCGCTATTGAGTGACCAACACAGTGTCAATACAGTGCCGACACAGTTTGGCTAGTGTGTCAATACACTCCTTGAGGTATCATCATTCCATCACTACTAAATACATAAACATAAACAGGAAATGAACTAGAACCACTAAGGTGTCAGAATAAGAAAATACCACTCAGGTAGTCACACAAAGACTTTAACGTCTTGAACAAGGAGAGAGAGAGGAGAGTTAACACCTCCGTGCCAACGCCCAACTGATGTCTCTCTCAGAATATCTCCAAGAGCTCCCTTTTAACAGGGAGGCTCAATTAATCTAACAGCCTGCAGCTGTGCCTGCAGAGTACTGAGGCCCTCTAGTGGCCAGAAAATGACAGTGTCTGTCACAGTGAACAGTTTGCTGATGTCAACGTTGTGAAACGAGTGGCCCATGGTGGTGGTGGGATACTGGTATGGGCATGGGTATGTTATGCATGGTGCAAGTTTTAATTCGATAAAGAAAACATCTTGCTCAGTTTGTGGCTCATTTTTAAATTCACTAAAAGGTTTTCGGCTGCTGAAATGACTATACAATAGAAATAAGTGATAAGCAGCTGTTTCATATTTAGCATTTAAATAAACCTGTAAAAAAACTAAAGAAATAAATGATGCATCATCAAACTCCTGGTATTAAGCAGGCTTCTATAAGGTAATTGTCTAAAATTCCAATAAGGTGGTAGGAAGAAATTTTTTTGGAAATTTTTAGACTTAAGGGTCAACAATTTACGCTGCTAAAAATTGAAAAGACCAGAGGCAATGAAAGAAAGTTTGAGACTAACACAACAAAATGCAAAACAGTACATCTAAGAGGATATCTCAAAATATACAACTTAAAGAGACTGTGTAGTTTTTTAACATTAATCTCTGGAAATATCAAAATGTTGTTGAAAGTGAATGAAAGGATGCCCAGTTGTTGAAAAATATTGGAGGCTTCATAACATAAAAACATAAAAATCAGATCTAAAACACATGGAAGCGGGCCTAAGTTTCTGGGTGACGCTATATTAGATTCCATGTTTCCGTCTACAGGAGCCTGTGAGGACAAAATGCATTTACTGATTTGTAGTAAATGGTTAAAAAACTTTCATTGTTGTTTTACACATTTACCTCTTCTCTCATTGCCAGTGATTGCCTGATGTGCTTGTCAGTAGTTTCAAGACCTGTGGTCGGTAACAAGATGGCGCCTGTGCATGGTTTAGCTGCTGTTGATTTTTCAAAATTCTCTCTAATAACCTCCTCCTTTTTGCCTAGCTTCTGTCTGTGATCCTCTTCGGTGGTGTCCCGGCTACCATCTCCTATGATCGCCAGGCTGTTTTGTCCTTCCATTCATCTGTGATCGCCTATGAAGTGCTGAGGATTTATCTGCCTATTTGTTTATGTGCACAGCATGCTGGCCCAGAGCCAAATGCTGATTCCTAACCGAACGCCTCCAGCGATGTTTATCCAATCCCGGGAAAGTGTCGGAGGAAAAGGAATAAACTAGCAGGAATCCAGGTGAGAGTAAGACTTCTATTAAAGCGTGGTTTATCTAGTAAACATTGGTGTGATCTTTTGGCTTCTTGTTCTTTGTTTCATTTTATTTTGGTGCCATTTTATATTCTCTACCTTTTGTAATTCTGTTTCAGTGTCATTTTATATTGTACATGATGGCCGATTTTAGCAAATGGCTTTTATCAAGAATTGCCCGGAACATTTCATCTTGCCAATTTTACTTATTTGTTTTTACATCTAGTGTTGTTGTCGTCTGTTTCTTTTGTT